CACTGATTGTTAGTGGCTCGAAGGGTTTTTGAAAAATCATGTCTTCTGGAGTGTAACGACGCGTAGACCGTTGAAAATACAACCGACGTTTCGGGCAAACATATCGCCTCCATCACTTCTGTTTGCTGCCTTCTTCATTCTGGCGTCTTTCCTGACTTATCCTTCGACATTAAAGATGGGGAAGATGTGTTCAACCGAAACGTCTGTTGAATTTCAACTGACTACACAAAATCACATCCAAAAACACAGAATTCTTCATAACCACCAATGAGGGGACCTCGAATCCTTTAGTGGGTTTTATTTTAAAATAAATGAAGTTTCAATTCGTGAACCGCTGGTTTATATTTGAAATAATACAACGTTTTACTTTAACAGTGTTTTATTTTTGTTATCAGTTTGTGTAATTATTTAATATTTCTCCCTGTGGGTTGCAACAATATGAACAGACATGGCGTCTTGATCCTAAGAAGATATGGATAAATTATGTTTTTATTTTACCTTGTACTTATTCTTTGTCGGATAACGACAATAATTTTGTGTGTTTTGCTAGCTGCACAAGGGACGAAACAATCCACTGCACAAAAATCCAAGGGGTAGCTTAGGCTCAAGGGAATGCAGAGGTAGTAAGTTGCGCTGAAAGCAACGCGAGAAGAACGAGATAAAGAAGGAGGCCATCAATCTATACCACTTCATAATTAGGTTCGTCAGAAAATTCACTATAGTTAAATCTGTTTCGACTACGTAAAAACGTTGAAAGAAATTCAATCAACTTCAATAATAATGAATTCTATTACGGAATAACGAAAGGGACATAAAATCTATAATATTAAATCGAAGATATTTTTTCAATGAACTCAGTTGTGTCTGACTTTATTAATAAAAGATATTCCTTTTAAAAATATAAATATTTTTATAGCAGTTACTCCTTCGAATGAAACAGTGATCTAACTACTAACAGCATAGTAATATCCACAGGAAAAAATCACGTAATTCCTCATATAAGCATAGGTCCTATACGACATCTAATCAGAATTATATAACAAATTTTTAGAATAAAGGTAAAGTAAATATAATTATGAAGACTACTCTCTTCTCAGATATGACAGGCTGTAGTCTAGTAGGTGACTGTCGACGTTTTGGGGGAATTTATTGCATCCGTTGGTTAACATCTTCAAGAGTACACGTGGCCACATCCACGAATACGTAATCTTCATAGTCATTACCGTGATTAACTCAATCTCACACAAATAATAACTACATTCAACATGAATGTAGTTATGAACTCCCTTTAGTAATACTTCAGTAATTTAAAGATTTATAACATAGTTTAGCTGATAACTCCAGCCTGAGGAAAGAATATTTACTGTCTGCAAATTAGGGAGCGCCATAGCTCAAGAGGTTAGTCGCTGGCTTCCCACCGCGGCGGTCCGGGTTCGATCCCGGGTCTGGTCAAATGGGATTTGTTGTGGAAAAAGTGGCTCTTGGGCAGGTTTTCTCCGAGTACTACGGTTTCCCCTGCCAATCTTAATTCCACCAATTACTTCACAATCACCCTCACCTATCATCTTGGGCTGTTACAATAGGCCAGAAGTGGCCGCAGTACAAGGGACTTAGTCCCACCCCACTAGCAATAAAAGCAATACTGTCTGCAAATGCTTGAACCGGAAGAGATGTTGAAAAAAATGAAATAAATAAAATGAGCTAAGGAGCTTTTGAAATGCACTTCAAAGTTTCTCTCATTAAGCCTCTGCAGCCGACTGCAGTCCATTGTCACAGAAACCAATGAAGTTGTGAATTATATCTAATTTACTACGTTCTTAATTTTGAGCATAGAGACTCTGCCATTCTCGAGTTATAAGCATATATGCATACAGAAGTACACACATTCAAGCTCACATTTCATTTAGCGCGAGGCCTATGCAGTAGAATATGTAAGGTAAAAAGGATAAATCTATCCCTGTAACAGGCCGTGAAGGCGTCGACGTCGAGGTTCCCACATTTTCTAGACAATCTGCCCACAGACGGCGGTGAGGATGTCAGCCTTAAGCGCTAGCCCCTCTTTACCCCCGGGAAATTTCCTGGTACTCATTTCTATTAGACTCCGGGGCCATATTGCGGCTGGAAGGACTAGGTCAGCTGAAAAAACCAATGACCTCATCGAGATTCAAACCGTGACCTTCATGCTTGTAACATAGTGCCTCAAACAACTACGCTACAGCAAGCCCCCTGCAGTAGAATATGTGGCATGTCATGATAGCTGCTTTATATCAAGTGTGAGCATAAACAAGTTTGTTATCAATTATATTATGTGAAAATATTTCAAAAGAAAAACGTATCAGATTATTGTGTTTTCGATTCTGACTCAGTATAGTCTGGTAGGTGGTTGTTGTTGTTGTTGTTATTGGAGAGGGTGGGTTTCCCCATGCACTTAGACGAGATATTGGTCAATTGTGCGTCCCCCTGTGATATTCTACCAGTCTCTATACCCTACCGGTACTGGTGCTTTCCATCAGTCCCGACTCAGCCAGCGAGTTCGGCCTCTACTGGCTCAGCGGTATCTCGATGCTTCCCCCATCTACCAGAGGCGTTAGAGACTACTGTTGGGCGGGAAATGTCCTGAATTTGGCTCAGAGGTCCCCTTGGGACATGAGGTTCTTTTACGTGCCGTAAAGCTACGACACGGGACTCACGGCTTAAAGCCCCTCCCGGAGGACTTGTTCCCTGAATTTTTCCGCCCTTAAAAATTCCACGACCTCCGCCGGCTTTGAACCCACGTACCTTGAGTCACGAGGTGAGAACGTTACCCCTAGACTACAGAGGCCGCTTCTGGTAGGTGGTTGCTACGGTTTCGGAGGAATTTTCTGATTCCTTCTTCAGGCCTGGTTTAACTTTGGTAACCTCTTACATCACAACAGGGTTTCTTAACCCAGAAGCTGGATTCTACAATTTTGTAGCTGTGAAAACTTCAAATCATAAAATTACAGAAACAAATTCGGCAGAGTAAGCCTGAAATATAACCTCATGAAGTGTTACAGATTGATTTTGTTTGTTTATTAGACAACTGATTATAACGGTATTTTTAAACAAGGTAACAAATGAAATACAGAGAACGCACGGATGTCAAGAGAGGAACAGCAAGAATATAATATATATATACTTATTAACAATCCGATGAAAACACAACCTGATAATATACAGGAAGCCAAATATAGATTTCAGAATTGTACATAATAGTATAAATAACGTAACAATTAACACAAACTTAACTTTCGTTAATATTAACAATTCACTCCAAATTCACTTAAGACAGAATCATATTACCATAAAATCAAGGTAACGAAATATTTATCATTCATTATTATAAATTATGTCGATTGTTACTACGATAAAATGTGTAAAAACCTTGTAAAACAACTACGGAAACATAAAAATATAAAATTTACCTTTATGAATTATTCAGTGAAAGACTTCCTGTAAAGAGACGAGGCCTTGAAATCGTGACATTGTTAACAACCGTCTTGAATGCATGCAGGATAGAACAGAAGGCCTCTGGTACTGTGGGGGTTAAAGTAAAATATTAACACACAAAAGCATTGTTGATGTATCCTTCGACCATCTGTATTCTGGTCTCGAATTAACGCAGCACTTGAGGTAACAGAGATGGTAAATATTTTGCGAATACATGATGCAACACAATTTCTAGCTTCTGGCTAGTTTCAACATAGCACAACAGAACACAAACATGTCGACACTGTACAACAAATCTATCATTTTTAATTTGAATATTTAAAATAAAAAAGGAAAATATATGTTTTTACACAATAATTGGCTCCAAATTATTTGTTCTTCATAACTGAAAGCAGTCCTTCTGTCATAACCGTTGCTTAACAACGTCCAGATTACAGATGGCCGTAAGATATAAAATTTTCTGCTATTAAAATCCATGTAATTAAACTAAAAAATAAAATTATAAACGTGGATTTGGTTTTGAAAAAGAAAATATAAGAGTATTTCATATTTTTCAGTAATAAAACTGTAAACTGGGAAGTGTTCGTTTTCTTGAAGAAAAATTTGGTCGATAATCTACTTGAGTTTTATAATGCTCTTAATTATGACTCCATAAATTTTGACTAGTATATGTCCGCTGCAAACAAGAAAGTCAGTGATACAACAAAGGGAGATACACTCTCTTCAAATAGAATCCTTAAAGAGATATAGCGCTCTTTCCTCTAATTTAGTTACGTACAACTGCCACCAGGGTTCGTTCACGTGCACAACTATTATTTCTTCAAATAAATCATTCCACCTCGATAAAGATGGAAACATTTGGCACGAGGCAAGTATATAGTCAGTTGTTTACGCAATGAAAACGTAGCGTTCAGTCATCGGTACTTGGTAATGGTGAGAGAAATCATGAGCCACGTTATGACGACATTGTAAAATGACGAATCATCGTGATAAATATATAGCATTATATCATTGCGATATAAAAAAATAAGTGACAATTTTAACCGACTCCAAAATTATGAAAAATGTAACAATTCAACAGAATGTTGAATTAAGAAATATAGCTTTAATTGTTTATAGATATAAAATCATACTTCATGTTAAATGGGTAACAGTTATAAAGCAGGTAATAAATAAAATATTAGTTACTAATATTCAAAATTTGATTTAGGAGAAAATTAAAAGGAGATTTAAATTGAGTAATGTTTGATACCATTCAATTCAGAACATTTTGTCTCCTCATCTGCTGTCTAAAACATAAAAATTAGAATATACACAACTATGATTTTGCCTGTAGTTTTGTATGGGTGTGAAACCTGGTCTCTGACTTTAAGGGAGGAACATAGACTGAAGGTGGTTCAGAAAATGGTGTTGAGGAGAATATTTGGTAGGATGGGATGGTATAGATTGGATTCATCTGGCTCAGGATGGAGACCAATGGAGGGCTCTTGTGAACACGGTAATGAACCTTCAGGTTCCATAAAACGCTGGGAAGTTCTTGAGTAGCTGCACAATTGACAGCTACTCAAGGAGGGCTCAGATCCATGAGTGAGTGAGTGAGTATTCAAAGTTTTAATTCTACTGACTATTTTAGAATTAACTTCAGTAATATAATGGCTCCAAATCTGAAATTATTCTACGAAGTCTGAGCGTCAGATGCAAAATTTGACGTGCAATATTACATTTACATTTTCATCACATTGGAGTCAGTTGGTCACCTGCCTGTAGCCACCGACATATCAATGTCAGCACATAACACAATAAACCGGTTAGGCTTTTACTCTGTTACTTCCTGCTAGTGCAAATAATCAACGCGAATTCATAATTAATACACGGATTATCGTCTGGGTTCATAAAGTCCACTTCTTGTTTCAAACATCCCATAAATGACCCTTTATATATGCTGCCTATTAGAATTTCAGTGAAGAGCTACTACTGACAACCGATAGCAATTCCAATTGATTTGGATGACAAAATATACTTGTCTTGGAAATACGCATAATTCTTCATCGACCACCGAGTTTCTGTTATACTTCGTCAATATTTTATGTTGAAAATCATATAAGACTATACTGTGCCGTTATAGTCAACATTGTCACCTCAATTCTAGTACACAGGCGTCCAGTTGGAACCTTCTGGAAGGTTCAACATGAAATATTTAAAATAATTCATCGTTATTAATATACGCAGTGCTCAGATCAAATATTTCCGTGTCATGAAACTGTAATCATCCACTTTAAGAGTTTATTGGAGTTTCAAAGGTGTTTCGACTCACAGATATGCAAATTTGACATCGTGACTAAACGTAGAGGAGATTTTCGATCTTCCTATCATTTTCCAAGCACTTCACTGAATTTACAAAACCATCCAATGACCTCATGTGTTTTTCTATATATAATTCAATACCGTTAATATTCGGACGGGGCCTACAGGTTTCCAAATGATCCAAAACATCTATGGATGCCCTGCAGAGGACGGTCATCCAAAACTCTTGACCCAGAACACATCCAATGCCTACAAAAATTCTTCTACAGTGCAGAGAGGTGGTGCGGAAGCCTCTGGTTATTCCTGGACGAGTCAGTACGGTCTCCAGACCGCTGTGCTGTCGGCTGTGGAGTGAGATCTCGGTTGTTGCTGAGCACCAACAACAACTTGCTGTGCAGCTGTTTGATGCTCGTCATCCGACAACCCTGAAGCACCACGTCCGCCTGGAACCACCGCACCTGCTGATGACGTCACTGCGGCCACACAGGACCCCGTCGTGGCACCGCCACCTCCCAGTAAAATTTCGCTAACTGTGGAACGTTGTCCGAGACCCGAAGCAGCATTCGTATGGTCCATGATGTCTTGAGTACTTGCTGTAGCTGCGTGGTGGTGATGATGGTGATGCAAGTGGTGAAACTGATGATTCTGATGACTACTCGCTGCACTGTACAGTTGGGAGTAGAGCAGTGACGCAGGTAGAACCGGTGTACTGAGGTAGAGACCGGCGGGTGATGGGTTTGTAGAACCACCTCCGTAGCTCTGCTGATTATGGTGGTGTCCAGACATGAGGGATGAGAAACTTGTGCCGTTGGTACATGCCACACCCCCCGCACCTGCACTGCCTCCTCCGGAACTAAGATGGTGGCCGACTAGTGAATTCCCACCGACCCCAACGGTGGGCAATATCTCCTCGCTCCCAACAGGACTCTCACCAGCGGATGAATCTGACAACGACCGGGGTCCTCCCAGCCCAAAATCCGTCGTGGACACAGTGACGGATGAAGACCCAACGCCTGGGTACCGAGGTACGAGGAGACCTCCTCCTGACGTGACGTTGGAGGACGCCGACGAGATGACCCGCTCCTGATGGTGGTTGTGTGTATTGTTGGTGGCACCGTGGTGTGTAGTGTTATTGGCGGTGCCAGTTTGGTGATGACTGTTGCCGCCATGTGGTACCACAAGAGTCCCCAAATGCTGGTCAAGATCGGTGCCTGGAATCCCTGTTCCAGCGCCTGTAGACCCCGTGGTGTCCGGCAGAACTGCACAAAAGAAACAACGCCGAAATCAACACTCCGTCATTCAAACTTTACTGATGATATCCATTTCAATGATTTTTTTTAATTCGCTTAGATGGGGGTGGAGTCCAACTGGGCCCACTCGGCACAGCGGCCACTGATTGGCCTATTGTAGCCTGCGCCGGGTAATTATGATGGTGGAGAATTTGGTGGAATGAAGATTGGCAGGGGAAACCGAAGTACTCGGAGAAAACTCGCCCAAGCGCCACTTTTTCCACCACAAATCCCACTTGACGAGACCCCGGGATTGATCCCGGGCTGCCGCGGTGGGAAACCAGCGACTAACAGCTTGATATATGGTGCGGCCTAATGCACATTTTAGTAACCAGTGCAGCAGTTACACGGACGGCAGAATGTGTGAATGTGATACTTTAGTTTTAAAGCTCCTTATCCTTATTCTTGGTCAGGTAGTGTTTACAGTACTCGTGGTCCGATCTAAGTAATATTTGAAGACTCGGCGTCTACCGCATAGAAAACTGTTTGCGTCTCCGCCATAGAGATCAATTAATTAATAGCTAGTGTTTAAGGAAAAGCGTCCCTTTATTCGGAGACCCACGTTGTTACATGTAGGGGTGATTACCGACGGGGTTTTACGTCGGATATTAGATTTATTGGCCTAGACTAGTGAGTACAAGTAATTACAGTGTCACCGCTAATCACCATAGCACCCGCCAAGAATTTTCCAGCATTCTGTGTCTTCAGACGTTCCCTGGTAACGACTCCTAATACTGGAGATTCTTCAGCTTCACGCGCTCAACTCTCCTTTTCAGACTCCCGTACAGAACTCACTTAGTCACCCTAATTGTCTTCAACATAATTCCTCGGAATACCGTGAAGAAACGCCACGTTTCCAACATACCTTTATTTTTGTGCTTTGATTCGTTGTCTGGGAACATGTTTACCGAGCCTTTACCCAGAAGCGGCCCTTGTATATCTGCATATCTCGCGGTCATCGGATAGCAACGACTCTACACACTACAATATGATACACGTAGTTGCACTCTATTAGCAAACCGGAGAGTATTTGTGAAAACATGCTGCACGTATAAAAAACACTGAGTTCTAAAGGGCAAATCCGATTGTCAAGGCTGTATATTTCTGCCCTAGGCACGGGGGCAGTCCACCGTAAGGCCTCTGCCTTCATCAGAAAAAAAAACTCAAATAAACACTCCTGTTACAGGAAGAATTTGAACCTGAGATCCGAGGGTTTAAGCGATGTACAACAGCGCGGCTATCAGGACACGTCTTCTTTTAACGATACACTGCAAGAAATAACACCAAGATTCGAATTAACCTGTTAAATTAAACCGTGGCTCAAGTTGGAACGAATTGAACTGCAGTAGATTACTGCTACAGATTACATGACAAACTCCCCATTTGTATATCTCGTACGGAAAGGCATTCACAACAGCAAAGAGATGGAAATTACTCTCACATCTCGATTAAGAGGCGACGCTGGGCGGATCCCAGCAAAGAGACTGCCGTTGTCACGTAGGAGCACAAACAAAACTCATTAAGTTACGCCCACAGTTTAGAACAGGGGCTGGGGATGTTATTTGTACTGTATGCGTCTTGTAGGCTGCTCAAAGTTCCGCAGCCAGGCGGCCATTGTATGCCTTGTTTTCAACTACGGTAATAGCATAAGACTGCTCTCCATTGTCGTATCCGCTGTATAGCCGCTACGCTACCGTGTCATCGCTTCGTGCGGAGCTAAGAGGCTAGACTGCGGGTGAACCTGGAGACAGCTCCTTCTGTACACCGGGTCTTATGATAATAATAATAATTGTAACCATGGCCATTATCATCAGAGTCAGGGTCAGAGTCAGAATTGCTTTACGACTGACGTCTTGGCGACAAGCCCCTTAGAGATTCACGACAATAATTTTTATTTTCCAACTGATCATTTTCGGTTATATGTAACATTCTCTCTGACGAGAGGATGGGTCTGTCGTTTACAATTGCTGCTGGACTTCGCCAGCAGAGTCATTCTCAGGTCCAAGTCCCGCGGGACTCATGACTACATTTTACTGTATCAGATTCGAGACTTCCCCAAACTGGAAGTCCAGGTTCCCATATTTGTATCCTCCAGGAACGGGATGGCCTGGTTATACGTCCAGGCAATGTGTTCCTTTCGGTCGCCTCCTACGACTCGCAGGTCTACGATGGAGGTACTCGACCCTGCCTCCAAACGGGATTAAAGACTGAATTTATAATGCTATAAGAATTCAGTTCATACCTCGCAGGAAACACATGATGTCTCGGCTACAAAGCCCAACTGGTTAATGCTGTTTATGGAAAGAGTCGCTGTTTCTTGTAAGAGCCATGTGGAACACACAGATACACTCTGTGGGCATAATGCAGAATTTCAGTGGGTTTAAGCGGGTGATACATATAGAAACCACTGGGCTTTAAAGAGTTAATAATATGATAATAGCGGCAGTGTTGGATCTGATAATGATGAAAGCAATGTCCATTAGATGAAGCCACTTCTTATCAACAGGTAAGGCCAACCTCTTCCTTCTACCGAAAGATTAACAAAGAATGAGCCTCCGAAACGTCTTACATATTGTTGATCAGACAATGGACAGTGGCCTAATAAATTTCCATAATAATTAAAATAGATCACAGTCACAAACCTTAACAACAACAGCAGGAAAAAGAATGCAACGATATTTCTATATTAGAGTCCTCGCCCACAGAAAATACCCTACAAGAGGCAAGCATAATACTCGTATATGTGTACAAAATCAAAATTCAGCACTAAGACAGCGTATACTTTCTCATATATAGGGCGTACAGTTATTTTCCTGAAGATGATACCTCTGTATTTTCATTCTGGGAGACGGGCTCTATAGACTGCTGAAATACTGGAGTTAGATTCGCCTATGTTTCCATGGCAACGCGGTCAGTTCCGAAGTACAGAAGGAGAGTGAACAATAGTAGTCAGACCCCTCCTTTCCTTCAAGAGGCCGCCTCATTTCAAAACACGTAAAATCTTCACAAGAAAAATATAGTCAAGGTTCGCGACAGGATCTGAACCCGAGAATTACTGTGCTGGCGAGGGCCATCAGCAACTTATCCGACTAACAGACCGAGATAGATATTTTTCACAATCACAATACCTTCTGACGCTACATAAAGGAGAAAATAAAAATTAAACTAAAAGAAATAAAGACGCGTTAATCAGAATATTACAGCGGTCACTATGTCAAGTATTATTGTCTGGGATATGGCGCTGTGTGACCGCCTCTGTGGTCTAGTGGTTCCTGGTTACAGATCCAGAGTTCCGGGTTCGATTCCCGGCGCTACCAGATCGCTCGATCGGTATAATTCTCTTGCGGACTAAAATCACGTGGTTTTGTATGATGTTGTGTAGTCCATTAGAAATTTATTGAAGTTTCGGAGGAACGTACTGCCTCCATCTTCAGGGTTAAAGAGTAAGCAAAGCAAATAAATCAGCAAGAATCGACACTGCTTGCTTCTTGCCAGTTGCTTGCTTGGTTTACTCTTCAACTCTGAAGATGGAGGCGGTTCACTCTTCCGAAACGTTGCTGAAATTCGAACCAGAATGTCACAGAAGATAGTATTCTTCAAAATAATGAGATAACAAGTAGGATCAGGAAAGAAAAATCGTCCTGTAAGGACACCATGTAAATATAAGCAGGTGTTGTTAGCAGCTATGAAACACCTAAGACTAAGTCTTGAAGCAATATTAGCATTCAGAGTTGAAATATCCCTAAGGATACGGAGACCAGCAGTGTCCATAAGCTGATAACAGTTTGTTTTGTCCTTAAAGACGTTAATTGGTTAATAAGAAATAAAATATACATGTATTATACGGGACAACGTTAACAACAAAACAACAACGACGTTTCGTGATTAAAGTGAGGGTATTCGGAATTAGCGTGCGGATTCATTTTGAAGTTTTGGGACAAAATTGGCACTTATTAATTTGGAATTAACGATAATTAGGAATAAATAAAGCGACCTATCATTTTAACCTCTATTGTTCTCCAATTTTCTTTCGTGTATTTTTTTTAAATTTATGTTTGTGTATTATCAATAAACATTGAGGAATGTCTTATCGTTACTTAACTGCAAAGAAAGCTTCTAATACATGACTTTTTTATTAAGGTAAAAGTTAAATTTATCCTTGGATTAACTACGTAATTAACTACGTAATTAATCACTTCTACATGAAGGCGCATGGGGAGCGGATTTTCTTGACCTCAACATTGAATGGATGAATGTACAAGGGGTGGGCCTTCTTGGCCCTTGCACCGTTACCTACAGTGGTCTATTGTGCTTCCTCTTTTGATTATACCCTCAACAACCCCACGCTTCGAATGACGCTCAGGATTTTGTAAGTGGGGGCGTCAAAATAGTCACTTGGTTCCATAAAGTATTGACCCAAGTGACGTAATCTTAAATAAGCTAAGGCCTCACATTCACACAGGATATGTGTGGCTGTTTCATTTTCACCTCTCGCAAGTGGGACTATCACTTATTCCCAGTTTGAAGAGGTGTCCTCTAAGTAGTCCCACCACCCATCGTAGCTAGTTCCTGTTTAACAGATCCTTCGTTCTTAGTTGGAGGTGAGTATACTTCTTATTAGGAGGATATAACAGTTTTAATTAATACTATTCTAATTAACTCCTTCTTAAGCAGCTAATATTCGCTTAACAATTCAATAAATTTCACGTCTTTTAGGGAACAAGAAAGATGTGGTACATACCTGGGAATCATAAATATCTTTCATTTTGTTCAAGCGTTATTAAGAGGGGACATACACATGGGCAGTGTGATACCGAAAGCATGGGCCCCTCTGTCCCTGTGAATAAAGAAATCAGGGCAATAAAAATGGGCCCAAAACTGAGGTGGAATGAATACTCGGAAGGCCCCTAGTTGAAACCTCCGTTAGGAAATCTGTTATCCTAAGCGAGATCTTTCTTTGATATACTCAGTAGGTGAAAGCTAATCTCGGTATTGTACCCAAATCAGTCCATAATCGCTACGGCCTATATTAATTAAAATTCGTTATTCACTAATCGTCCTATCATGTAATGCTGTATAATGTTAACGGCGGAAAGACTCGTTAAGTAAACTAGTAATTATTTTCTTACTTAATCCGTTTCCCTTATACCTTACGGCATGAAGGTTGTTTTTGTTTTTATTATTTTACAGACGGTAGGACTCCTTGGACGAGTGATCAGCTCGTCGCAAGGCCTCTACCTAAATACGGGACAACACAAACACAGAATAAACTCATACACACCAACCATCCCTGTCTTTTGTGGGTTAGTAACCCACGACCCCGGTTTCCGAACGAGAGAAGACAGTACATGCCTTAGACCGCTCGGCTACCGTGACCGGCTCAACCAGTAATATAAAAGTAAATAGTAATAGAGAAGAAGAAAGTAACAAAGGCGTTCAGTAGGAACAAAAATTGTTCTTTGAAAATATTTCTCCATGTTTTGTTCAACGAAGCATTTTCAGCGTCGAGACTATAGCTTCAAATAGAAGAACGAGATCTGAATGATGAACTGGAAAGGATTCGGAAGGAGTCTGTCTAGGTCTAATGAGGTACCTTCCCGGACTTTGCCTGTAGAAACTAAGGGTACCCAGAAATAGACCCAGCTGGGACAATCGGTTCCCAGACGAGATTTGAACAAAACACCCCCGAATATAAGCCTAGAATGTTACCTCTAGATCAAATGTATTAGATCTTTCTTGAAAGAAACGGTAAAACTATCCTTGTCACAGGCCATTGAGGCCCATACAGTTCTGACTTCGAGGCTCCCACATTTTCTAGACAATCGGCTCTAAATGGTGATGAGGTTGCCAGCCTGACGCACCGGCCGCCAATTATCCCCAGGAGGATTCCTGTTGCTCATTTCTGTTAGAAGATGAGTCGACCCCAGGGCCATAGTACGGCTGGAAGGATAAGCTCAAATAAAAAATCCAGTGACCTCATGGGGAATCGAACTCGCGACTTTCCGTCTTGTAGCATAGTGCATTAATAAACGCTTCATGTTAGTTCGAGCATCATTTCTTTCCAATACAGGAGAGCAATGGGGGGTACGTGCTCTCAGCTGCAGTTTGCCTGATTCACTTGCAGACGTCACGAAGCAGAACTGTAGCGCGTAAGATTGGGCGGCAAGGGGTGGAGTAACACACAAACAAAACCATGGACCAAGACTGTATCAGGATTAACATCAAGGAATATCTCCATCCGCCCTCGTACTGGTTATTGAGACGCCTGTTGGTATACCTGATGAAAGGGGATGTGGTAACAATGGCGGAGTCATTGTTCATCTTGACAATCAGACAATTGTCACGGCATCTGTTCTGCGTAGGAAGACGAAGAGGTTTGATTTCAAATGCAAGCTTTTCTGGTGAGCAGAGGGTAGTTCAGGGTTAATATTAATGATCGTTTAAGATGTTTGGTACTCGTAGATTAGTAATACCGTTTCGGTAGAAATCTTGTGTCCATTTTCAGGATAAAAGAAGTGACAATTATTTTACTCTTAAGAAGAAGGCAGTGGGTTTCTCAGAAATGTTTGTATCTAACACACTACACCATATCACTTCCCAGAATACCGTAATCTTCATACTGAAAGACGTGAAAAGTTCTAATCTTTCTAATATTATATTGTAGCATCCTGTTGCAGTTTTCAGTTAGCATTAATTAGTTCCACAGTCTCACGTGCAATATTAATATTCTATAAAATACATTAGAAGCTATTCGCTTTAAAGTTCTACATACATGTTTCGACCAATGTGGCCATCGTCAGGTGTTAGAAAATATGGATGTGGAAACCGCTGTCTTCTGTATCGTTGCTTAGATTGTTAACACACAGTCCACTTAATGCACATGTGTGGGGGCACGCGGTAGCGTAGTTGATTGATGCACTATGCTACAAGCCCGAAGGTCACGGAATCTAATCCCGATGAGGTGGATTTTCTTTCAATTAACTTAAGTGAACTACGTCGGTTGAGTTATATAACCTACAGTACTTCCATTCTTGCGCACTGACTGCTGTCTAGCCACGGCTGTTGTCTCGTTGTTTGTTTCGCGGTCGTTGCCTAGCAACGGCGATCTACACGCTATAATATATATGTAGTCGTTGCAACCTATTGCGTTTTTGTTTATCTTTATAAAATTTGGCTAAAACTTGGTTAATATTCAGTCTAAATTGCTGATAAATTTTGATTAAAGTAATTGAGGCTTGTTTACTTCGTTGCTCACACTCTGAGATCCTAGCCCTCCGCTATTTCCTGAATTGCAGAGTGGATTGTGTCTGTGAGCCTCTGTCCCCATGGTGGAAAGCGACAGAGGCATGAAACTGACTACCCACCTCCATCTAGTGTCGAAGTCAAGAACTGTGGGGCTATATGTCCGCTCCACAGCGTCAAACTAGCTCCCTACTCTTGTCACATAGTGACTTCATAAAAAGTACATTTGAAATTAAATTGAGTGTTGTTTTTATTAGCTCACTTTCTTTATTTTGGAAAAATAAAAGGGGCTTATAAGTACACCTTGCTCCCTGTGTGTCCATCCGTCTGTGTATCTCCCCTAATTTGAATGAGGCTTATGATATCGACTTGCTGTCTGTATATTTGTGTGACAGTTTATACCACTTCTTTTTCGTTTTCTATGCCGCCTGTGTCATATCAAAGAAAAGTAGGCGAGTAGTTCTTCCCAGAATTTCTTGTTACATAATTCAGCGCCACATGGTATAACAGGATACACACGTAGAAGCATAAGAAGGAAAGGTTCCAGGCGAGGTACGAAAGAGGACCACAGGTTTGGTAGTACTCACGCGAGGAGACGGCGCTAGCAGTACCGAAGGCGTCATGTGCGCCTCCCTGCCCACCTCCATTCAGGTCACTTGCAGCTGTGGCGGCGGCCGTAGAGAAGCCGAGAGCCGGAGCGCTGAAACCGCCCCCAGCGGCGGCGCAGCTACCCAGCGCCCCCGCGGGCCCTAGGTACGAAGAGTAAGGGTTCGCGGCGCTGTACCCCCAGTGGCTGTTTGTCGCACTCAGCCCGAACTGGCCCATGTCTGCAATGAGGAGTAGCATCACATCAGTACATCCTGTCAATAGAGGTCATGCAGCTTCGTGTGAGTGACGCGAAACAGAACAACACTTGGCCGTAAGCGCCACGTAAACATACCAAACAATTTATACTTTCGCGCAAGGGAAAAGCGGACTTATCGCATTAATCGTGCGGTTTAAGGCATCAAATGTGTTCGTTCCACCGAATACCGGGGTTCGACTTCAACTCGAGGCATAGCTGTATCTCTGCGTTGTTTCTATGTTGGTGTTTTCCTTGCGACGGACTGATCCCCTATCCAATGAGTCCAACCAACTTTCTATAACATTCATATTTCCAAATTAATTCTGAATGAAAACACGCCAGAGGGCCTAATCTGTCGAAGGAAGAAAGAAATATAGAAAGAAACAAAAATAAAAAAAAAATAAATAGGAAGATGAAGACGAACAGTAATTATTCAGATAATCAATGTTTTAAACCACACAAAATTTTATTTTCTCAGTCACTTTGTACCTATCCCCCCACCCCAAGGTGTCACCACCTTATTATGGTGGGGCTTGCGTGACTCTCTGACCTGGAGAGCTATGCCGGCGGTAGTTTAACTACCAGTAGGGTCACCCATGCCGGAAAGTTCAAAGGGTAGAGTCCAGACTAAGGGCCCCCATACACACACAGTTTGGCCTCCAGTTCGGCCTGCACAGTTGAAGACTGAAAGGCAAAACTGACGTGTGTGATGCGGCCGGCCGGCCAATCGTTTGGACTGTTGGCCTGTGGGAAACCCGTCAGTCCGTCAGTACCGCCTGCAGGACCGTAGCACGTGACGTGTGTGACTCAACATTATAGGCTGGAAGACCGTGATTGTGGCATGAAGCCTGCCGCTTTATTTGCGCGTGTATGGGAAGGAAAGGGAGGGGGTAAACTGTAACAGTTTTGCCTATAAGGTCGATCGGAAGGCCAAACTGTGTGTGTATGGGGGGCCTAAGAGAGATACCCTGGTCCTTCAGGGTTCAGAAACCTAACAGCAGCCTCGGGTCATCATGCGTGGGTCTATTCCTATGGCAGCATCCATTGGTTGTTGAGACTGGTTGTAGAGGAGGCCAAGGCCCACCCAGGGCTGTAGCGCCGAGTGGTAGGTAGGTACTTTGTTCCTAAATTCCACTGCATGTTACAATAAGGATTGGCCATCATCAGGTGGAAATAATACAAGAAAGATTAACAGATTGTGATGAAACCGTAGAAACGAGAACTAAAATAATTTGTGAGATCCGTCTTGTGACTGAATTTGTTCAAGTGAACTGTTATTCATATAGGAAATCAAATATTAGAATTTCTGAATAAAATTGAAAATTTGAAGAAAGTAAAATTGTGCTTTGTCTGTGATGGTACATACATCTAACTCTTCTACACACCGAAACAACATGTGTAGTCAAGGGTCATTCAATTTTTCATGTCACTTTTAAACTTATTCAATTTTCTGACCTCAATAATATCTGCAAGATGCAAATATGAGCTTCTGAGGTAGGAAAGACATTACAGACTCTTGAAAACGGATCTCGGGTTAAAAATTACACTGTTATAAAATTATATTTATCTTTCCTCTTCATTACCAAACAACAAACGACCTTTTGTAGGGAGATCAGTAAAATCCTAAAAAAAAAAAATCCTAAAAATCCTGTACAAAATGTCTCAACATCACTCATGGAGCTGAGCTCTTCTTGAGAAGCCGCTAATTATGCAGCTACTCAAGAACTTCCCAACATTCTATGGAACCCGAAGGTTCATCACCGTGTTCACAAGAGCCCACCACTGGTCTCTATCCTGAGCGAGGCAAATGTTTTTATATAAGTAACTTCATGGAGATGAGCCCTCCTTGAGAAGCCGTCAATTATGCAGCGACTCAAGAACTTCCCAGCATTTTATGGTATCCGAAGTTTCATTATCGTGTTCACAAGAGCCCTCCACTACTCTCTATCCTAAGCCAGGACAATCCAATCCATACCATCCCATCCTATCTCTGTAAGATCTGTTTTAACATTGTCCAATGTTTACCTGTTAATAATTAGAAGAATGAACTAAAGAGCCAAACTTTGAGGCTATACCTGAAAATTTTTACGGAATTCAGACTAAATTATGCTCGAAAATGAATCTACAAATTGTGTAATTATATACATACAGCCTACTGAACCGCCATAATTAAATCATACGATTTAAACTACATGCCATATATAGTCACTGTTTCGACTTTTGGAATGCAATCACCAAAGAATGCATGACGCTAAAATAGAATCACTTCATGTGACAATGTGAATACCCTTACTGTTGTCATAACTAACCCCCCCCCCACATCAGTCTCTCTCCCTAACTGCTGCAGCCGAACTGTGTCAGTGCTATAAATCAAATTTAAACATAAAGAAGACTTCACATCCTCTGTAGAAATGTGTCAGAGGAGGTTAAATTAAAAGACAAAGTTATCCGTGTAACAGGCCTGTGAGACGTCGAGGTTCCCACATTTTCTAGACAATCGGGTCACAGATGGCGGTGTGGTTGTCAGCCTTATGCGTCGGCAGCCCTTTACCCCCCAGGAAGATTCTTGATACTAATTTCTGTTATAGGCTGAGTCGACCCCAAGGCCATAGTGCGGCTGGAAGGATTAGGTCAACTGAAAAATCCAATGATCTCCTCAGGACTAGAACCCCCGACCTAACTTCTTGTAGCATAGTGCCTCGACCAACTACTGTACGGCGTGCCCTCCAAGCGGGTTCAGTTACGACTACAAATGTAAGAGAAAAATCTGCACTGCCGTTTGGATATGATTTGAGATGCAAGGACAGGAAGTTCTGAGGCACGACCACATAGAAAAAACACTCATATTTCCATTGTTGTAGTCCAACTGCTGCAGCTGCCTAGCAACAGGTTGCATAACACCATTTTCAAGAGTAACTCTATTGTTGTAGAGGCGTGTTTACAGCGCTGTTGCATAGCATCGGCTATTGTCTCGTGTGTTTCTAGATATTTTCCTAGGAACCGGTTTATGCGCCACAGTATACAAAAGTTCCTGGCTTTGTACAAATGTTTACGCCATGTCTTACTTATCTTCCACTACAACAGAAGTTTCATCTCTTGAACGGCCTTAAATTCGGCCAATATTATATTTCAGCATCCTGTTGCACTCTACACGATAAATGATATAAACTCCGTCCCAAGTGCAAACAATATATATTATATGTCTTTGATCTTGTTCTTTTCTACACTACATGTTTCGGCCTCTCTCGGCCATCATCAGGTGTATACTCTTAATGTTGCTGCCACACTGAACCCAGTCTAAAATTTAAAATTTAAAATTGTTAGGGTTACTCGCCCTTTGTCTAAAGTGCTGGAGCGGCTAGTTCTTGTTTCCACACTGTATAGGTGTTATTCTGTGTAGTCTTCCTGTGTGCGTGCCGCTGCTTGTCTTTACTACGTGTCTTCATAATAATATAATATATTATATATATTATATATAAATTCGGCCGCCGGTAAGTTTAAACCGCCTTACAAAAATATACTGTTCAATGTCTAGGAAAAATGGTTATGTGAGATTTGACGTTCTTACGGCGTTGAACGCGAAGACTTCTGACTTCTGCGATAGGCGGTAGATGTCTACCAGACTACTATATGTATAATATAAACTCCGTCGTAAATGTAACACTTTATTGTAGTTCTTGTCTTCCTTCTTTCACACTACATGTTTCGGCCGTAATCGGCCATCATCAGGTGTATTTCACTACACGCAGCTGTCACATTGCACTCAATATTAATATTTTAATTCCAGATTTCCAATAGTTCATTTTCTGTCGTCAATCGGCACCCGATATTTCGAAACTAACCTTGTCCATGGTCTGTTTTAGGAATAGCTTTACTTTCTTTTACACAAATACAAACTGTGGGCATAGTAAAGAGTTCTCAATGTTAAACAAGATGGTATATATAGCTACCATTTTGCTTTAACGGGATAAAGCATACAATGGGAGAACGTCAGACTTGAATTCACAAAGTTTACAGTGAATTCTCGAATGAAAAGTCTCTCGGAACCAATTTTTATTACGGCGGATTTGGAGCACAAGTTTTATTTAAGCCCTGGGAGGGTAGCAAAATGAACTTTTTCTACATCAGACGCCACCTCTTCAGTTGCTTCATGCTCCCCTAATTAACCTGTGTGTAGGATCTCCCTGGTACGGTCCCATACAACTCTTTGCACTTTTACTTGTGGCGCTATAATCCCACATTAAGCCACTTGGCAGTTACGTACTTACTTCAGCCCTCTGCAGGTATCTGTCACGAGTAATTAACATTGTCCCTAACTGGCTACGCAGCCCACGCGCTCCATTTCGAGAAGAGAGATTCGGAAACAAGACGCGGCATTGTAAAAATAAAATCAGATAATATGTACAGAATTTGGAGCTAAAATCTTATTACACAGCTTTAAAAAGTATTACCCAGCAATGGATTAAAATAGGATGGATGGAAGGAGTGCTTTTTTGTTTCTGGATTGAGGTGGTGCAGAACGGTGGTCTGTGATGGGGTGGAAAAATGTCTGTGGATTAGCTCATGAAGAACTACCCCAGTCCTGCTGTAATTATGCCTGCACTAATCTGATTATCTCTGGAGCAATATATAATCTTTTTTATCGCGTGCTACTGCCAGTGTTCACTGCTACTCCGAACGTGTCACTGGAGCAGCTGTCTTAAGAGGCAATGTACGCCGCCCTCTCAATTTCATGACAACCCAGAGCTTCCAGGATACAGGTGGCCAATGCCTGGCCGCCGACGCTCTCTAAGTGGCAGGGGTAACGAAACATATCTCTGAAGAGTTAAATCTTCTTGGCTATAACACCATATACTCCGCTGAAAGTCAACCGACGTTTCGAAGAGAAATGTCGTCTCCATCTTCAAGGTAGAAGAATAAGCTAAGCAAGAAGCTGATTGAAACCAGATAGCAAACGTCGGACGAAGTTCAACGGCCTTATAC